GTCACTCTCCATGTAGCGTCAATTATGCTAATGCTAGCTGTCACATTCTCTCATCCTGGCCACACCTCCGCTCTCTAACCCCCACTACCCACTTTGATGCATTTTTCAAATTTCGCCTTGGGGCGGTGTTATCTTTTCACGGCGGGAGGGGGTGTGTGAGATACACTTTAAAAAGCTCTGAGCAGCAGGAAGTTGACTGACTGCTCTGTGCAGCTGACAAACATGAGGAAACTGTCATTTCTCACATCAAACCACCCACCAGTTTGTGATTTAASTAATGTAGAAGCGTCCAAACGTCCTTGGTGCTCATTGGAAATATGACCCATCCTTCACCTGCTCAGCTGTGTTGTGCTGCAGAGAGCTGGAAAGAATCCTAMTGTGTCCTGCAGCTGGACAGAATCTGAATCCTGACAGACCTCCATAAAACATCTTTAACTTGGACTCCAGGCAGCGCTGTGAACCAGTGTCCACTGATTTCTCATGTCCTTTGTGCACTAACTCTGTCCCTCGTGCAGCACTGAGGACATCCGTCTCTGTCTCCTCTACACAACTGTCAGCTGATTGAAGTGTGGCTTATCCTGGACTGGGTTCAGCCTCACCGAGCTGCAGACGGGTCAGAACCTCTTCCAGAACCATTACTGTAGATGGGGACATTCATGGACCTAATGTCACCATTCAGAGGGACAGAAGTACACAGGACAGGACAGGGTAAGATATATGGGACAGAACAGAAGAGGGACTGGAAAAACTGGACAGGAGATGAATAGGACAAGGCGGGGATGAGACAGGGCTAGAAATGCCTGGGACACGAGGACAGAAATTAGACAGGACAGAAGAGGGACAGTACAGGAGAAGGATGGGACAAGTATTGGACAGGACAGGATAATTAAAGGACAGAAGAGGGACAGGACAGGAGGAGGACAAGGGAAGGACAGAAAAAGTAAAGGACAGCAGAGGGACAGGAGAGAAGGAAAAGTACGGACGAACAAGATGAGTTGGACAGGACCAGAAAAGGACAAGAGAAGCATGGAACAGGATATGAGAGAAACAGGAGGGACAGGACAGTAGAGGGACCACCAGAGTAAAGTTTGTTGAGTTGTCCCTCTGACTGTAGGACATGAAGCTGGTCCAGTTGTGTCAGGATGTAAATCAGAGGATCAGGTCCAACAGAGTTCCTGAAGCTCTGCTGCCACCTACTGTTCTGACAGGTAAATGCTTCTGTCCTTCATAGTGTCTCAAACTCTCACCACCTCAGTGGACACATTACGAAAACATTTAAATATCTAAATTATTGTAACTAGTACTAACAAGCTGTTTCACAAAGAGTCATTAGTTAAAAGTTTGAACCACAACAGATGAAATGATGATGCAGCTCTCAGGTCTGCAGGYGTTTCTTTGTTTTACATGAAGTTTTAACGCTCCAGTTTTTTAGGATTCACATTTCTTCTTTTTTTTAATCAAACTAGACCTTCAGCAGTTAAAAATCCGTTTATAGAGAAAAAAATGTTTATATTGAAAATGTTTTTTTTCTAAGCTCAGATAATCCCAGCTTTGAACAAAATTAGACACCCCGAACACTTTTTGTGTCGGCTCCTTTTATTCCAATAAAATCTTTAACCTTTCGTGTTACTTTGTTTTAATCACAAGTATTTTTGATTACTTTCATTGACTAATGTCCTTTGCAATTGTGTTTAAATAATCTTTTTTTTTCCTTTTCAACATATATTTATTTATGCATACAGGTAGTCTCATTGAGATCCAGAATCTCATTTCCAAGAGACCGTTTAATCAAACCACATACCATTTTTTTTTTGTATTTTTTGAGAACAACTCTTTATAAAAGGTCCAACCTTCACGCAACTTTTGTCGAGCTGCATTATAAAAAGATTTCTAAGAACTTTAGAAAACTGCTMGTCTGTAACGAGGAAAAATATCTCCAGTTTTATACAAACCAACGACATTCAAAACAATCAGAAAAAATGTCTAAATTGTTACAAAAATCAAGCCAGGAATAACAAAACTCCACATTATATATCAGAAGTTTTGATAAAGGACACCGCTGCACGCCTTGGCATTCATGTAAAAAACACGATTTGAGTAAAGTTGCGTTTAAACTATGATACTGTGAAGCAAGTCATCATTATTTAACGACCTTTTGACTTAATAAACTGTCAGTGAAGATAAAACATCAAAGCTTTTGTTGCACAAGAATCACAGATAATTTTAAACAAAGGTCCAAACAAGCTGCTGTAAAGATAAGATCTGATTATAACCAGCATTGATCACAGATACCTCTAAACTATACAAAGATTTAATTTATTACATGTAATATGCAGTGTTAAAATCAACAAAGTCCTGGCACCGTTTCATCAACATGGAATATTTTCAATCAAAAAGCAGCGACGTTGGATCAGCAGGCTGTAAACACGATTCTGAGTTCAGATGTTTGGYTTAGAGTTCATTCCTCTCCTGCTCAGACCACTCAACATATCCTCCTCTGTAATGCCTTGCCCTGAAAGAAAAAAAGCAAACAAATAAATCATTGTTTTAGTTTTTAAGAAAACTAAATCACAACGCTGCATGTTATTTGCAGCTCTGGTTACTGCAAAAATCAGCCATCTACCCAAGTCTTATATCAACCAAAAGGTTTGTTTTACTTTSTTTTGAGAGAGAAACACAACGAATAATCAAACACATTCTGATCTTGTTTAATATGTCAGTCTTTTAAACGAGATCAGAATAATTTTTAAACTGGATTAGGGTGTAAGACCTGGGTGGACGGGTGATTTTTGCAAGAAAATYGGTCAATTTTATTGTTCACAGATAAGACGTCACAAACTGCTTCACAAGAAGCAAGACTAAAATAAACACAAACATAGAATATAAGCAKAAAAGCATGCAATAAAACAAGTTCATTTGATTAATAAAACATTAAGCTTGTCTGAACATCAGTGTGTCAATGTCAAACTTTATTTATAAAGCACTTTAAAAACAGCCAATGGCAATCTATAAAAAAATATAAATAAATATATAATATCTATAAAGGGTGTTAAGATGCTTCTTAAAGAAGTCACAGGGGCAGGGTGGTCCACAATCTAAGGGCTCTAGCTTGAAAGAACAGGAATCCTTGAGTCCTAAACCTGGTTTGAGGAACCTTCAGGWGATTTTAGCCATAAGAGTAAATCAACATTACTGTAATTTTCTGTAAGAGGTGCTTGTTCATTAAAAGCTCTAAAAGTCAAAGACTAAATTTTTAAAATCATTTCTGAATTAGGCAGGCAGCCGATGTAAAGAGGATAAGAGCGTGTGTGTTTTGTGTGGATTTACTTGTGAAAGCCCAGCTGACGAGCGATGCGCAGCGCCTTGGAGCTCCTGACTCCGGTCCTGCAATGAAACACGACGTTGTCGTCCTCTTTACCCGGAGCCTTCACCTCGTACTTCTGCAGGAAGTGAGCGGGGGCCAGCTGCAGGGACTCCTCCAGGGTGTCCACTTATTCACAYGGGGAAAACCCATCAGCGCACACGATCCAGTCAAACAGCGTACAGACGTGTCTGTTAAGACTTACGTGGGACGTTGACAGCCTGAGGAATGTGTCCAGCCTCGTACTCGTCCACTCGTCTCACGTCAAACAGCTGGACGTTATGGTTTGACAGCATGGTCTTCAGCTGGGGGAGGGTCACCACTGAGGCTTCTGTAAAAACACAACGTAAACAAGAAGAAGACAACACTAAATAAAACATGCCATTCATTGGTTTCACCTTTAATTAACTAAACTCCASTTACTGCAGCCTGGAAATCTGTTTAATATAACTAACTCATTAAAAACATTGTTTAATAAAGTGACAATTAGCAGAATTTTCTGAAACTGTTTCAAAAACAACTTTCAGCTGTTTRTTTTTGACACAGCAACAGGTCTAAACAGTAAAATAAATAAAAATGTRAAGASATGTCTAAWAAACCAAAGTKATTCTTGAAGGACAAGTCAGTCTAACTTTAATTACCGTCCACTATCACTACTTCCTCTTGTTTGCTGCTGCAGCATGTCGGCTTTGWGGAGGAAAAAGCCCGAACATAAGAGGCTACAGTCGGGCAGGACCTCCGGTTGACTTCAGTAAGAGCCTGGCACAAGGTCCGGGACAGAAACAGGGACAGCATGATGAAGACAGGCACGTTTGGAGTGCTTGAAAGTGTTAACATGACGTCCTTTTTACGTTGCCCCTGTAAAGATAACAGCTTCTTCTTCTACGGTCTTATAAAGGGTCGCCCCAAGCTGCTTGCAGTTGTTTACGTGGCGCTGCTTCCCTCTAGTGGCTGTAATTAGTCACTACAGCTCTTAATGCATGAGTTCTACTGAGTCGTCCGTTTCTTTTATTTAAAGTAAATATATGCCCCTAGCAATTAAAAAAAACTTTTTTCTGTCTTTACATCAGATAGTGTAGATTATTAGTACAATTATAAAACTACTTTCTTTATTTCAAGGTAGCAGCAGAGAACTATTATTTTGCTATTTTCAGCATCTTCAGTGCATTTAAAACTGTGACCCATCACGTCAAACTGAGAATTAAATCAAATTTCTTGAGAAAATGTTTAGATTCTTACTTTTTAATCTAAATTTTGACAGCTGGGTCTTCCAGATTTGGTGAACGGTTCCAGAGATATGCCTTGATTTGTCTTCCTAACTGATAACCCATTGATATTTGGTCTTAATCCTATTTTTAGGTTATTCTGAGCAAATYTGATGTCATCTTAAAAGGAAACTTCAGACAATATTTGGAGATTTATCAGCTGGAAAGAGGTCAACAGAGCAACCCTTTGTCAAAGCATTGTTGTGAAGACGTGCTGAAGTGGCAGTGTCTGAAATGGTAGGAGGTTCTTAAAGAGACAGAGAAAAATTATGAGGCTATGATGAAAAGTCTAATTTATTTTTGATATATACAGCATTTTTATGACAAATGAAGGAAACACACTCTTTTCTTTAACTGTGTCCTGTCCGACAATGTGAAACTCAGAATTGATGTCTGAGTGTCCAAGTGAAGCCCAACAGTTTTACTTTCACAAGTGCAGCCTAATGTATATATTTAAAACCTTTATTATAAATTATTTTGGGATTAATTTTTAATGGACACTGAGGTGGAAAAAGTAAACAAAGAAGAGAAAAAGGAGAAAAGTGAAAAAAAAAGAGATAGAAAGGGAAACAAGAAGATATGAGACGCATTGAGAAAACACAAGACAACACATTTGTAGTCTGCCTCTACACCTGCAAAAAGAGAGAAAACAAAAACACAGCAACCAAATCTATGTCTACATAATATTAATTATTAAAGTGCACCACCCCCCAACCAAGGCCCGACAGGGTCCGAGAACCCGAGCCCTACCAGGCAGTCACCAGGCTGAGCCGGCACATGCCTGAGCACCCAGCTCCAGACACAGAGAGCCACCAGAAACTTACCGTTACGTCTTTGTGGTTTGTGGTATAAAATTGAACTGTGTGCCTGGAAAACACAAAGTCCCCCCCCCACCCCCACACCATGCCTTTAATGAACCTGTACACACACCTGTGTGTGTGTATGTATGCGTATGTATATATATGTATATGTA